AAGCAGAGACATCGAGGATGCAATCACACAAGAGGAGGTTTATTTTCTGGCTAGCCAGGGTCCAAGCCCCAGAGCACCAACGCAGTGGCCACTCTCGCAGGCAAGGACCCCGACCTGAATTGCGGGGTGCCTTTTATCCCCCCCCCAAAGGGCCCTAGCAAGGCACAAACTAATTATGCGCTGGCCATGAGCTGACCTTTGAAGTGATTAATTTTCTTTGAATTCTGCGCGATCCCTGTGCATCCCACCTCCCTTTTGCCTTTCTTCACAACCCAAGAGATAACCGGAGGTATGAGTATAAACAGATGTGTGCTGTTCGCTAATTGCCTCACCCTGCTTCACACGAAGGGGGGCGGAAAACTCTTTTCTTGTTGTGCCACTGAGACGCTGCCGAAGGGCCATGGAGGCGCCCCCACAGCAGGTCATACCCCTCTGGGACCTGTTACTTTGCATGTTCACCCATCATCTTTCTCACCAGAAAGAATTCCAGGATTCACTCTTTTAAGAAATTTCAGGATGGGGAGAGATGTCACTGCAAACTCAGCATGTTTTCCTCAGCCACAGCCCTACCGTGTTTCCCCGAAAAAAAGCCCTACCCACAAAATAAGCCCTAGCAGGCTGTCTAAGCATGTGCGCAATATGAGCCCCAGCCCGAAAATAAGGCCTAGAGACGGCGTGGCTGCGCGGCGTCTGCGCAGCCCTGTGTCGCCCGCCCCGGCGCGGAAGCCGAGCAGCCCTGCCCCGCCCCCGCCACGCTGCCGTCCCGGAGGCGACCCGAAGGGGCGCAGCCCCTCCCCGAGCGCGGCTCCCGCCGGCCGGCCACCCTGTGGCGCTGCGAGCTGAGGCTCTGGGGGAGATAACACGTCCCCTGAAAATGAGCCCCGGGGTGTCTTCTTGAGAAAAATAAATACAAGAGCCTGTCTTATTTTCGAGGAGACATGGTGGGAGTGCCACGGTGAGCAGAGCGGAGGTTCCCGCCGCCCGCCTCTGCTGCCCTCGGTCTTCCCCACAGGTGCAGGGGGCGCCCGGAGCCCTGCTGCCCCGCGTGTATGGCCACGACCGGCGCCGCCTTTGTACACGGAGACGAGGAGGGTGCTTTCAGGTCTGGATGCTGGCATTCCCTCTGCTCACGGGGAATCCAGCCCTTACCGATCCGTGCTGAGAAGAGACAGCAGTTATGAGCAGATTGGGAAGTGGAGGGTTTGCGGCTACATTCACCTAGGTGCCAGGTGAGACTTTCCATCATTATTTTCTACACTCTGTGAGAGGCGCCAAAAGTGAGCACTTTTCTTCAGGAAGGTATCCCTGCCACTGTGTTGTAGTTTCATTTTTTAAAATGTTGCCAAAGATGCCTGCTGTTGATCACACCACACGCTTGCGCAACAGGAGGCTTGCACGCACTGTCACTGAGCGTGTCTGCGGACGGCTGCCCGGTGCAGGGGAGCCCGCCCGCGGCGAGCCCTCCCTCCGCAGGCAGGGGGCGCCCGTGAGCGCGCGGAAGGCCGTGCCGGGCTCCGCCCACACGAGCGGCGAGCCCTCCCTCCGCAGGCAGGGGGCGCCCGTGAGCGCGCGGAAGGCCGCGCCGGGCTCCGCCCACACGAGCGGCGAGCCCTCCCTCCGCAGGCAGGGGGCGCCCGTGAGCGCGCGGAAGGGGCGCTTATTCATACCCCTGACCTAGTCACTGTAAGTAACTGCAGTCCCTTCATAAACTCAATTTCAAAGATATGACTCTCTGACCTCATCTCTTTCCAGCTCACTCCTAATAACCCCACTGCATCTTTCCCACAATATTGCCAGGACTTTGAAATCGTTGATCCTATTACCTACTCATCTTTCCTTTCTTGGCTTAAATTCCACTGTCAATCATACCCATTTCTCAGCAAATATTATCTTATTTGGCTATACCACTACTCAGATTAATTTCAACACTGCAGCCAAAGTGACTAAAGAAAAATATACAACCATGCTAACTTGTCTCACTTCAAAACCATGATCATTAAACTGAAATGGGCTCTTGTAGGTGCCTGGCAACACACTGTATTCCTTGTATCCACTATTTACTCATCCACTGTAGTGAATGATTAATTTATATTTTCTCCTCATTCAGAAGAAAATTTCCAACAAGCTTCCCCCACATCTACCTACTGCTCTGTATTTTTGGCCAGAAGCTCTACTTAATCTCCTGTTACAGTATATCAAAAATCCCTGTATCTATACGGGGTATGAGGAGCAGTAATGGAGTGAATGTGGGCATTGTTAACATGGAGGTATGTAGGAGTTTCTGTAACTTTTTGTGGGGTTAACATTATTAAAAAAAAAACAGTCCTTACTTTCTTAGCATGATTTATTAGGCACATCATGATCTGGATCTTCTTACCTCTCTGACCTCATGTGCTGTTGTATATTTGTGCTCTTTTGCTCCACTCTCCGTCCTTGCCCACCCTGACCTGTGCCTGAGGAAGCTAACCTGTGAGAACACATCAGCAGGTTCCCTTCCCCCAGCTTCCTACTGGGTTTGAACAATGCAGAGCACTTTCACAGGAGAGAAGAGCAGGAGGGAAGAGAAGTGGCATACATGTTCTTTTAGCTCTCTTTTTGCCAGGTAGCGCATTGGCAGGAACTGTGTTATGTATGAGGCCCTCTGCCCCTCAGAGACACCTCTCCTCCATTCTCTTCTACATCTATAGTGACAATTCTCTCCACATTTTGGTAGCTCCTCCCTCCATCACATTTGAAGCCTTGATCTCCCTGGGGCTTTGTCATCTCGTTTGCTTCCCTTAACTCTGTTCACCTTATACATACCCCCTTCAACAAATTCCCAATTGTCCTAGGAGATTGTCACTTTTCCTTCTAGAATCTGAGTGAATACAACTCAGCTTCTGTTGCTATGCTCCCAATGCATTCTGCTTCATCTGCATGGGCTTCCATGGTAAGCCTTGGGCCTACCAGGAACGCCTTTGTTCTGTTTCCCCTCCCTGAAACATTCTTCCCCCAGATGACTGCATGGCTTTCTTCCTCATCTCCTCTCTGTCTTTAATCTCAAGTCACTTCCCCAGTGAGGCCCAAAATTTCAACCCCTGACATTTCCTACTGGCCTTCTCCATAATACTACTCTCTAACAGTATATATTTTATTTATTTGCCTTTATCATTCCTGTTTCTCCTTTAGAAGATAGGGTACAGGATTCCAGGAATTTCTGTCTGTTTTTTACATTGCTGTATCCCCAGAGCTAAGAACAAAGCCTGGCACATAATCAGAGCTCATTCAATATTTGCTGTTGAATAAATGAAATCTGTATGTCTGACATATAGGTGATCAATATTTTTTTAATGAATGACTGATTGACTTACTGATTGAATGAATAAATTTGAATTCATTGAATCAGAGACTTTAGGAGCTGAGTGGAACTTGAGAGTTGAGAGACAATTTGCTTCAACCTTCTAATTTTGCAGATAAGGAGATTTGAGGCTCATAGTTTAGTGGCTTATAGTGAGACTCAGTCACTCTCGCAGCTCAAGTGAAAAGCTAGGTCAGTATGATAATCCAGCTCTGGCCTCTGAGTCCAGTTCTCTGCCACATTTGTAGATTAGTTTTAGAAAAAAAATTAAATCAATACATTTCATATTATTCTAACTTTTTCTTTATATACAAACATTAGCCAGAATATTGGACTAAACCACCTCGTATCTTAGATGAGTGTCACAGTCATATTCAGGCCTTAAATATAGGTAGCTCTGGCCTTAGGCTGCTTCGTTATCCAAGCCTCTGCAGCCTGTGTCTCAGCTGTCTCACGTTACTTCCCACTGCACGAGTGATGGGTGTCCTTCTCGATTAAGGTAAACTGATGATGCTAATACAGCTAAAGGTCTTTTTGTGTCTCCACTCCTATTCATGAAGGAATTTTTTTTCTATGATTTTTTGCACTAAGTCCTCTTGTTTCCTAATTATCCAGAGGATGGAAAACTAAAGGAAAAGAGCATTTCTGCCCAGCCCCTACTGGAACAGGAGAAAATAGTTTCCAAACTATTTCTATTTTTAAAGTAGATTTAATAAGTAAAAAATCCTTTTACCTTCATTCTTCCTACATTATTTGCCACTTAAAAGTGACTCAAAAATGATCTTCATTTTTGGACTAGGCAAAAGAGAAATTCTGAGCTTTTGCTGTTGATGCTATTTTTGGTAATAGACTGTTTGTTGGTTTTTAATCATGATATACCTTAGAGCAGAATAGAATATTTTCAATAAACTAAGAATAACTAATGGTTTTTGCCTGAGAGAGGCATAGTGATAACTCAGTAAATTGGTCTTGTTATCCCCTTTGAGAGAGGAAGAAAGTGAAATGAAACAGCTCGTCTAAGGACCCACAAACAAGAAAATGGCAGAATCTGGGTTTTAATTCAGCCCCATCTTATTCCAGCCTCAAAGCATTTTTGGTTGTGCTCTGGCAATAAAGGAGAGTTATTTTCCCTGAAAAGTAATACATGCCTCATTTCTACACTAGTATCTTTTAAACACTTCTGCATATTTTAAAATATTTAAATTGTATTCCAGAAGCATAGATTCTCAGGATTGAAAGTCTCTGTGGTCATTTAATTCAAACCTCTTCTGGAAGCTGGAATCTCTTTCATAGTATCTGGGCGACAGAGCATCTGTTCTCTTACTGAACAACTCAAGTATTAAGGAACTCAGTCATTATATTCAAAGTTAGTTTCAGTATAACCCTCATTCTTAACATAGTCACTTATTTTGAGATAAAATCTATATCTCTATGATTTTTGATCTTTAGAAAAAAAGACATGTCTAATTCAACAAAACTATGTTCTAATTCTCTCATCTGTCTACTTCTTCTTTGTAGGATCAGAATAGAAGACATTACCAGAAAATCTCACTGTAAAACACTTTGGGGGTTTGAAAGTTTTTAAACATTAAAATGAAGATGGGTCCAAAAATCTGAATATTTCAAATGCAGGTGGGATAATGTCAAGTCAATTAAATTACCATGGGGAGCTGAAGTTCCCAGGGTGTCTTGTGATCCAAATCCACCCCTGTGCCTGCTGTGCTTTGGTGCCACCTGGTGGTGGTTGCTATGTGACAAATACTGCGTGTGGACTGGGTACTGGATTAGAGTCTAGTGAACAATGACACAAATAAGTATTAATACATTATAACAAATTGGGATAATTTCAAAGAAGAATAGAAGTAGTAATAGAGAATAGAACAAAACTATTCCATTGAGAGTGGGAAGTAAGACAAGGCCTCTTTAAGAAAGTAACATTTAAGACCTAGAGAATGAGAGGAGTTAGTCGTACATATAGTTCAATGAAAGGAAATAGCGGGTACAAAGATCCTCAGAAATATAAAAACAGTACATTTCAAAAAATGCAAGAATCTCAATGAATCTTACAAGTAATTAACAGGAGGAAAATGAGACTGGAGATATAACCAGAAGTCTGAACTTGTAAGGTCTAAGACAAAGAAATTTGGGGTTCTCTGCAATGGGAAGCCGTTAAGGGAGGGACTGATTGGACTGGAACAGGAGCAGGAGTACAAGCAAGTTAGGAGAATATTGCAATGATTCAGGTGAGCAGTCTGGTGGCAATAGACATGACACTTATTTGTTAGACGTTTGCTTTCTGTTCATTTCATTTTCTCTTTTTATCCTTATGTGGTTTATGAACATGGCCTGTATGTTTGAATGAAGAAAATGAGATAATTAGAAGTACCACTGGGTAGATGCCCAGTAATGGGATTGCTGGGTCAAATGGTAGTTCTACTTGTATCACTTTGAAGTATCTCCATATTACTTTCCACAGAGGTTGTACTAGGTTGCAGTCCCACCAGCAGGGTAAGAGTGTTCCAAACTCTCCACATCCATGCCAACACTTATTGTTTTGGGACTTTTTGATAAAGGCTATTCTCACTGGAGTTAAGTGATGTCTCATTGTGGGTTTGATTTGCATTTCCCTGATGATTAGAGATGTTGAGGACTTTTTCATATGTTTGTTGGCCGTTAGTCTATCGTCTTTTGAAAAGTTTCTGTTCTTGTCCTTTGTCCACTTTTTGACAGGATTGTTTGATATTTTCTTGCTGATTTTCCTGAGTTCTATATAGATTCTAGTTATTAGCCCTTTATTGGATGTATAGCATGCAAATATTTTCTTCCATTGTCAACCCAAGTGCCCATCAATACTTGAGTGGATTAAGACAATGTGGTATGGGCCAGGCACGGTGGCTCACGCCTATAATCCTAGCACTCTGGGAGGCCGAGGTGGGCGGATTGCTCAAGGTCAGGAATTCAAAACCAGCCTGAGCAAGAGCAAGACCCCGTCTCTACTATAAACAGAAAGAAATTAAATTGGCCAACTAATATATATAGAAAAAATTAGCCGGGCATGGTGGCGCATGCCTGTAGTCCCAGCTACTCGGGAGGCTGAGGCAGAAGGATTGCTTGAGCCCAGGAGTTTGAGGTTGCTGTGAGCTAGGCTGATGCCACGGCACTCACTCTAGCCTGAGCAACAAAGCGAGACTCTGTCTCAAAAAAAAAAGAAAGAAAAGAAAAGAAAGTGTGGTATGTGTATACCATGGAGTTCTACTCGGCCACAAAAAACAATGGCGATCTAGCATCTCTCGTATTTTCCTGGATAGAGCTGGAGCCCATTATACTAAGTGAAGTATCATGAGAA